AAAAAGGTAAAGAATTTGAGTGAAAATATAATTCATTTAAAAAAAATAAAAACAAAAAAAAGGACAAGGATGACCTTCAGTTTTATTTTATTTATTTATTTGCAGGACTGGGTTTTGAACCTGGGTCTCAGGCAAACACATCTCAGCCCACACTGGCCCTTCACTGGGTATCTATAGACCAGCTTGCTATACCACTGAATCAGGACCCCCCAAGTCTTTGTTTTCAGCTTTCTAATTTTGAGACAGGGTGTCACAAAGTTCTCCAGACTGCAGACTGGCATTGAACTTGTGTGGGCCAGGCTGTCCTTGAGCTTTCAATCTGCCTCAGCCTCCCAAGTTCCTGGGATTGCATCTTTAGGCCACTAGTACTGGCCTTGGTTTTATTTTACTTTAGCAGTGCTGGGAACGGCTGCAGGGGCCCTCACAGGGCAAGGCAAGTGCTCCACCACTGAGCTACACGACCAGCACACAAGTGTATGACTTTCGGAGCTAGGCATGCGGTGGTAATTACATGACCTCATTCCTTAAGGAGCACAGAAAGCCAAACTTGGGGGTCGGTTTCCTGGGTAAAGAGATTGCTATGAAAGCCCAAGTTCAGATTCCTAGCCCCTGTGGGGGGTGATGGAGACCCACACCTCAGCTTTGGGGGGGAAGGGGATACGGAAACAGGTAAATTCCAGGGGCTCAAGTTGAAATGGAGAGCCCCAGGTTCAGTGAGAAAGCCTGTCTCAAAATCTGTAAGGACAGGCTGTGCACGGTGCTGCAGACTTTTTTGTTGTTAATTCTTGGTTTTGTTTGTTTTACAGACAGGGTCTTGCCATGTAGCCCTGGTTGTCCTGGAACTCACTCTGTAGAAGAGGCTGGCCTTGAACTCAGAGATCTGCCTGACTCTGCAGAGTGCTGGGACCACTGGTCAGCATTTTTTTTTAAATAGGGAAAAAAATGATGAGAGAGAGAGAGAGAGAGAGAGAGAGAGAGAGAGAGACCTACAAACTACAACCGGGACATTATCACCTGTATTACAGATCTGAGCGACAGGTACCCAGGCCTGTATTACAGATCTGAGCAATAGGTGCACAGGTCCTGCAGAAGGTCCCTCAGCAGGCACCAGGAGCTCCCTCCTTGGTTTGCTTCTTCACCAGCTTGGCAAAAACCAACCATCTTGGCTCGGGTGACCTTTCCTGGATCACTGGCAGGGCGCTGAGAAAGAAAGGTTACTTACTGTCTGCAGCCTCCTGGAGACCTCAAGAGAGCCACAGTAAACACTGCAATTGTTTGAGGAAGCTCTTGGCTGTGGGTCTGGGCAGCAGGAAGAGCTAAAACTGGTGTGGCAAGGCGGAGGTGGCCCGCGGCAAGAGTTTGGCTGCAGGGCCTGGTGAGCTCTGAAACTGTGCGCTCTGAAGAAACCTGGGGCCTCTTCTCCCAACCCTCTCTCCTGTGTCTCTAAAGCTCCTGTGTGGCCGGATGTACTAAAATACTAATGCTCACAATGCACATTAATTAAGTCCCTATACGCCCAGCATGGTACCTGGGTGGTCTTTTGTTGTTTTTTGCTTGTTTGTTTTGAAACAGAGTCTCACTATGTTGCCCAGGCAGACTTGGGATTCACTTATGCTGAAGTAGGCTTCCCTTGAACTCACCGAATCTACCTGCCTCTGCCTCTAGAGTGTTGGGATTAAAGGTGCTGTGAGAGCAGTGTGTGCTCCTAGCTGCTTGGTCATTTCTCCAGTGTGCCCTTCTTTCTCTTTTCTTTTTGTTTTCCCAGTACTATGAAGCCTGTCCTGGAACTCGCTCTGTAGACCAGGCTGGCCTCGAGCTCATGGAGATCCGCCTGCCTCTGCCTCCTGAGTGCTGGGATTAAAGGCATGCGCCACCACCACCCGACTATTTTCTGTTTTGAAACAGTCTCACCGAAGCATCAGGCTTGCCTTGAGTGAACTCCGCAGGGACTTCAACTCAAGACCCTGCTGCTTCAGCCTCCTCAGTGATCAGGATTACGGCTGTATACCACCACAGCCGACTTTACCTTGCCTTCGGACGCTGGTGAGTAACCCTGCGCCCACCATCAGGGTGCTATGGGACAAGGAGGTCAGAAATGCCCCTCAGTTCTGGTTTGGGCCCAACTTGCATCCCTGGGTCAGAGAATGCTGGAGCTGGAGGGAGACATTACCCGCTGGTTCTTTGTCCACAGCCCCCAAATCTAGACGGGGCCAGAGATACCTTCTCCACTTCCTTGTCCCTTCCTCCCCTTAAGCTCTCCATTATTTAAGGGTCCCTTCATTTCATGCAGCGCCTCTCATGCCTAAGCCTTTCCTGGGTCAGCATGATGGCTCGGTGGGTTAAATGCATGTCCACATAAGCTTGGCGACCTGAATTCAGCTCTTGAAGCCCATGAAAAGACGACAGAACCAATTCCACTAACTTAACTGACCTGACAGCCACTTGTGCACCTTGGCGCATGCGTGTACCCACACACACATCCACACCTAATAAAAATAAAACAAAATAAAAAAAAAACAGGACTCCATTCTTAGGGCTCTGCCCCTTCACTGAGCCAACATCTGTTTATTCTTTTATTCGGGACAGGGTCTCATGTAACCTTAGTTGCCCTCAAGTTCACTGTGAAGTTCAGGCTGGCTTTGATCTCATAATCCTCCTGCCTCAACCTCCTATGAGCTGAGATTACAGTCGTGGCACATACTTGGCCCCAAAGCTCTCCTCATGGGCCACTTGCTCTGTCCTCTCCCAGAGAAAAGAGTGGTTTCCCTAGGGGAAGCTGCTGGGGATAGTCGGCTACATTCTCCCTGCTCTTTTAGGATCTTATCAGGGATGAACTCAACACTAGGGCATTTACTATGAATAGCAACCCATTTCCTCTTCCTTAGGTCATCCTGATGCCAGCACGCTGGCATTCCTTAGGGAAGAGGAGGGGACTCTCTGGGGCGGTTCTCCTAAGCAATCTTTTGGCACTGGGCACACCGGAACCTGCCTCTAATACCAGCTACTTAGGATGCTTAGCTAAGATGAACCCAAGGGTAGCCCTGGACTACAGATTGAGACCTTGTCTCAAACCCAAGTGTTTATGATCCAATACCCAGGTGACCCTCTTTCCCTCCTAGATCACCAGGGTGGTCAGGTAGCTCAGTATCCTCCCCGACGAGTCCTTTCTCAGGCATGCCACTTGCTCACGGTGCCTAAGTGTCCTGGTCAGACTCTTACCCCCCACTCACTGTCCCCTCCATTCCTGTCCCTAGCGTTCTTGCTTAGGCCGCCCATAGCCACCGTGCTGTTTAAAACCAGGTCCCTTCTCCTGTTCAAACACCATTGTCCATCCCCACGTCCTTGGAACTCTTCTTTTGGTTTCTAGAAGGAGCTCACTGTTCCCCTGGTTTCTGCCAGAGGTTAACGACTCCTGGGTTTACAAGGTCTCTGTACATTTATTCTCCTTCCTGCTTCCTGGATCATCTTACCTGGCCGTTCCTACTGTGACCAACTCTAGCACTCAGATGGAGCCTCCCTCGGCTTCCTCCCAGGAACTTGAGCTGCCGTTTTGGTAGTTGTTCCTTATCAATGATCTAAGGCTGAAAGCTGAGGCTGTATTAATTGTACCTTATCTTGGTTTTTCAATACACGGTTTCTCTGCATAGCCCTGGAACTCAGACCAAGCTGGCCTCAAACTTAGAGATCCGCCTGCCTCTGCCTCCTGAGTCCTGGGGTTAAAGGTGTGCGCCACCACCAACCGGCTCAAGTTGAGGCTATCTTAGATTCTTCTCACTCCCCCACTCTGACACCCTAATGGTGCTGGAGTCCTGAGAATTCCACTTCCTTAAACGCCCTCAGTTCTGCCCCAAAATACCACCATCTCACCCTAGGTGGGGTTCCTCTATCATCTTTGAGTGCCTCACCCAAGATTCTCTCACCTTTTGTTGCTGTTTTTTGTTCGTTTGTTGAGACAAAGCCTCCTTATACAGCTCTGGATAGTCTGGAATGCAGACCAGGTTGGTCTAGAACTCACAGAGATCCTCCTGCCTTCAGAGTGCTGGGATTAAAGACGTGCTCCAACATGCCCATTCTGTTTTTGCTTTTTTGAGACAACTCATGTAGCCCAGGCTGCTTTGGAACTGTTATATGAACCAACCAGGTGTGGTGGTCAGCCTGGTATACATGAGTTAGACAACCAGGACTATACAGAGAGACCCTACCAAAAAAAAAAAAAAAACCTTGAACTCCTGATGTTTCTGCCTACACTTTCCAAACAGTCTCACTGCTTTAAAGAAGGGCCACCTAGGACCCTGTTTTCCTTTCAAGAGCCTTGTTCTAGTTCCCTTTATCTTGTTCCAAGAGCAAGCACCTCACTTCTCAATTTTGTTTAAAGCTAGGTCCCTCCTTCCTTTGCGGGCACTGGGTAGCCGGTGAGGTCGCCTTTTTCCTCATCTCTCCACCTCCAAGTCGGAAGAGTTGTCAAATGTTCCTTTCAGCCCCTGTCCCTCCACCCCCGAGCTAGGAAAGGAACCCAGGCTCAGGGTGTGCTATACAAGTACTCTACTACTGAGCCACACCCCCATCGCTTAGAAGTCCTTTTGGTGAGGCATTCGAGCCAAACAATAGGTCTTTTTGTTTTAAGTCTCCAAATATAAAATCGCAGTATAGAATGTACTTCTTTAACCCGCACATCCGTCACCTCAAAAGCCCAGAGCAAGGCTATGGATCGAAGCTCCAAACTCAAACCAACTGGGACATCCGGGAAAAGAACCCCTTGCCTCCTCTGGCTATGCCCCTCAGATCGGCTCTGTTGAGTTCAGTCCCGGAATATCTCCCAAGAGACCCACCATGTGAGCACCAAGCTCACTATATACCCCAATATTCTCCTTACTGGACCTGTATGCTGTTTTAAGCTCGCTGCCCATGGCGAAGGCTATCCCAGGGCCACTCCCCAGCAGCTGCCCAGCAAGGGAGGTGGTGGCCTGTGGGGGCGTTCAGGATAAGGACGCTCCAGCGACTGCAAAAATGAAAGGTTTTTATTGAAAAATATGAAACGGCCCGTTTTATGGTTGCCTGTCTCTGCCCACTGTGAATCTTCCGGCTGCGGAAGGACGGGGCTGGCAAGTAGCTGCGGTGGCCACCCCAGTCCTGTACTCGGGAAGGGTGAGGTTTCTTTGTCCAGACGGGTTGGACGGTTCCTAGGCCCGGCAGTCAGGTGGCAGCCAGGGAAGAGGGGGGTTGCCAGGCTATCTGTCCTCATCCAGTCTAGCAAGCAGACTGCGTGGCGTCTGAAACCATCTGGAAGGTGGTGTGGTCTCCGACGCATGGCTGCAAGCTGGACTGGGGGGTGCTTCGGCTGCTGGTAGTGGTGATGGTGCGGTCTGCGTGCACCCGGCACCTCAGACATAATCCTTGCGGTCATAGGCGGTGCCGGTACCGGTGCCAGGCCCGGTGGATCTCGGCGCAGAATAGAGGACCTTGGTGGTCGTGTACTTATCGCGTGGTGGGCAGGAGCAACAGAGCAAGGCGCCCCCTAGTAGCTGCAATGCGGCGGCTGCCCAGCCCACGTACAGCCCGGCTCCCATCTCCCGTTTCTGGGCCTCAGGCACCAGTGGGTTATAGAAATCCCTGATGATGGTGTTGGCCGACCAGGACACGGGTACTAAGGTGAGCAGAGAGGCCAACAGGAAAAGCACTCCCGCCCCGATGGTGATCTTGGCCTTGGCCGTCTCGTCTTGTACGCAGTTAGTGCACTGGGCGCCCACGAGCGCCACGAGGAGCCCGAAGGCGGCCATCAGGATGGACACCACGATGAGGGCTCGGGCAGCCTGCAGGTCCTGCGGCAGGGCCAGCAGCGAGTCGTACACCTTGCACTGCATCTGCCCGGTGCTCTGCACCACGCAGTTCATCCACAGGCCCTCCCAGGTGATCTGCGCCGTGATGATGCTGCTGCCGATGAATGCCGAGACGCGCCACATGGGGAGAGCGCAGCACACGATGCTGCACAGCCAGCCCAGCACGGCCAGCGACGTGCCGGTGATCTCCAGGCCCATGGACATGGCTGCTGGACTTGAACCGGCTCTGCCGGGCAGCTCCGGGGGCTGGGAGACGAGGGATCGAGGCCGCTGGACCTGAGAACCAACTGCCGTGCGAAGACTGACGGACGACTGTCGCCGGGACCGACGAGTGGATGGCAAAGGACGGGGCGCGCTAACGGCTCCTCTCCCGGGGCTCTCACGGAGGCTGCCCCTGCACCTGCCTGTGGCTTTGGAGGCTGGCTGCTGAGACTGGGTTGGCTCGGGGTGGGGTGGGTTGGACTTAGCTGGTGCCCAGAGGAGGAGGGTGGAGCTCGCTCTCCTGGCCCAGGGGACAGTGACGTGTGTCCCGTTCAGTCCCGTCCGTCCTCCCCCTCCCCTTCACCAAAGGAGGAAGGACTTAGCCAGAATCCGAATGTTCAGGGGGTGGGGGTGATGTCGAGGGAAGGCTGGGACCTCTGCGCTCCCTCCTTCCCAAACCTCTCCAAGCTCTTCAGCCTCAACGAATTCTCTTGAGACATTCGGAGGGGGAGGGGAGGGGCATTTCAGGGATTTTTTTTTTTTTGAATCGCAAATCACCAATAATAATCTGCTTTCCCCACCTCCATCCTTTCCAGCGCGGGAGGGAGGCGTAGGATGGGGGCGAGGCCAACTCCTCTGGACAGCCGGGACTGGGAGGCCCCAGTGTGGGCGTGGCTTCGGCTGTTTGTCGTTGTCAGTGGACGGAATTGCAGTACCTGCTCTGGGTCTCTCCAGCTTTGAGGCAAGTAAGCTGGCCTTGCCCGAGCGCAGTTTGAAGCAGGCTGGTAGCAAGGTCTATATTTGGAGATACTTGACTCTGAAGCCAGGGCCGCCCACCTGAAGCCCCCTCCCCAACCAGGTGTTGAGTTTAAATTCTTGTCAGGCTCCTCATGTGGCCATGACAGACTTAGCTCAATTACTGCCCCAACCAGAAGCTGCTTTCCCTCATTGAGGTTCTCTTCGTGGGGTCTTGTTTTCTCTCTTTTGGCGGGGCAGAGCGAGTGCCAGGTGAGGTGGGAAAGAGATTTTATACAGTCGAGAAAAGAAAAGAAAAAGTCAAGCCAGGTGTGTTGGCTCATCCTTGAGCCCTAGACAAGAAGATGGCTTTTAGTTCAAGGCCAGAGTGGGCTAAAGAGTGTGTCTCAAAATTAGACACAACACACACATGAAAAGCCCTGTACAGTCGGGCGGTGGTGGTACATACCTTTAATTCCAGCACTCAGGAGGCAGAGGCAGGCTGATCTCTGTGAGTTCGAGGCCAGCCTGGTCTACAGAGCGAATTCTAGGACTGGCTCCATAGCTACTGAGAAACCTCTAAAAATAAAACAAACAAACCTACAAACAAAAATCTCTGGACAGTGTGTCATTTCAGCACTTGGGAACATGGAGGGAGGCAGGAGTTCAAGACTGTCTTGGCTGCATGGAGAATTCAAGGCCAAATGGGCCACTTGAGACCTTGACTCAAACAAACTATAAACAAACATACATCATAAAAAGCCCCAAACACCAATCCATATTGCCTCTGTGCGCTGTCTCTCCTGCTCACGGGTTGTTTTTGTTTGTTTGTTGTTGTTGGGTTGTTGTTGTTGTTGTTGTTGTTGTTGTTGTTGTTTTGTTTTGTTTTTCGACACAGGGTTTTCTGTAGCTTTGGAGCCTGTCCTGGAACTAGCTCTTGTAGATCAGGCTGGCCTCGAACTCACAGAGATCCTCTTGCCTCTGCCTCCCAAGCTTGGCTCATGCTCCCTCTCCTTCCCTCCCCTCTTCCCTTCAGCACATCTAGGGTCTGGCTCTTCCGGCTTTGCTCCTAGACATCCCAAAGGCCTGTGCTTGGGGTCCTTAATTCCCGAGACCCTCCTACAGCTTCCCACGTGGCGTACTGACCCCCAACCCCCAAGTCTTTTGTAGTTTCACAGCAGGGGATGTCTCCCGCGCAAAGTCCTTGGTCTGTCCTGGGCACTAGGTAAGCCCCCAGGGGACCTTACGCTGATAATCACCACCCTAGCAAACAGCAGAAGTTCAAGATCCTCCGCAGCTACTTAGTGAATTGAAGGTCCCTGTGGGTGGCTTGGAAACCCGCCCCCAGACAAAAAACAAATGGCAGCAAAACCACCCCAGCTTCTTACCCACAATGCCTGGTCCCCTCTGATACCTCCTTTCTTTCGTATTTGACACCATCTGTAGTTCACTCCCTCTTCCCTTTCTTTTTCCCTCTCTTCCTCCTTCTTCTCTCCCTCCACGCTTCCCTCCCTCTCTGCCTTTTTCTTCCTCCACCTCTCCCCTCCCGCCCAACTGCACTGCATAGCCTAGGGTGGCCTTAAACTCAAGATTGTTTTGCCTTCCCTGCCTGAGTGGTGAGATTCTTTGTGAGAGAGGCTACGCTTGGTTTCCCATTTACTTCTGGTTCTTTGTCTCTGCTTCGCTCTGTTAGCACCGCTGGAACATTGAGAATGTTCCAGGACTGACGAGCATTTTCGCCTGTTTTATTACAGGGCACTCCCACCACCGAGCACAGGGCTGGGTACTCAGGGAGGTAATTGACTTCGCACTTTCTCTTGTTTCCTCCACTTGTCCTGCCTTGGACTGAGGGTGTTGTGCTGTGAGGGGCCCCAGGGGCTGTGCCATTAGCTAGGAACCTGAGACCCACACAGCTGGATGAAAAGCTGGGTTGCGGGGTAGCGGGGAGGTAGATGGTCCAGGGGATAAAAGTCCTTGTCGCCAGGCTTGACAACCTGCTTTTGAGCCCCGTTATTCCAAGGGGGGAAATAAAAAGCTTATTTTCCAAAGTTGTTCTCTGACCTCCACATGCTTGCTTACCTGCATTCACGCCTGTATGCGTGCGCGGGCGCATTGAATAATTAATAAAATAAAGGGGCACGTTTCACTGAGTTGGGTCCAAGGTGTATTCCCCCCCCTGGGGGCCCCCCTACCTCTCAAATTACAAACACTCAGACTTCATCCTCTTCCCTAAGAACCTACACCCTGGGGTGACAGAGATTCAAATAAACAATCCCAGAGGCCCATAGAAACCAGGGTTCTGTTTCTTCCTAGTACAAAGGTCTTGGGCTGGTCCTGATGGGTAGGGCTGGGAGTGCCAGGCCAGAAGGCCCAGCTGGTGCTGGGTCAGGGTTGTTCTGGAAGGAATGTAAGCCTGGGTCCTCTTTAATGGAGTGTTGGTGTGGTGACTGATGTCTTGGCTGAGGAGATGGCTTTGTCTATAAGGTACTTGCCACATAAGAATGATGACCTGGGTTCTAGCCCCTGAAATTAAAAAAAAAAAAAAAACATTAAAAAACAATTTTAAAAAAAGCTGGCAGTGAGCCGGGCAGTGGTGGCGCACACCTTTAATCCCAGCACTCGGGAGGCAGAGGCAGGCGGATCTCTGTGAGTTCGAGACCAGCCTGGTCTACCGAGCTAGTTCCAGGACAGGCTCCAAAGCCACAGAGAAACTCTGTCTCGAAAAAAAACAAATAAATAAATAAATAAATAAGCTGGCAGTGGTGGCACATGCCTTTAATCCCAGCATTCGGGAGGCAGAGGCAGGTGACTCTCTGAGTTTGAGGCCAGTCTGGTAGACAAAATGAGTTCCAGGACAGCTGGAACTACACCTGGAAACCCTGTCTTGAAAACCAAACCAAGCCAAATAAAACAATAAAACTGACTACGATGGCTCCCACCTGCAATCCCAACCCCCAGGAGGCAGAGACTGGAGGATCCTAGGGCTGGCCAGCCAAAGGGATTAGTTCAGACTGAGTGAGAGATCCTGCCTCAAAAAACACGATGGGGAAGTGATGGAGAAAGACACCCGAAGTGTCTCTGGCTTCCACATATTAAAAAAACACGCGTGGGTACACACACTTGCTCACACGGGCACCCACACACAAACTACAAAGAAAAGGGGGGTAAGGGAAACCTAGAGCCATGGTGTGCACCTTAAATCACAGCAGTTGGGTGGTAGGAGTGAGCAGGGGGGAATCTCTGTGAGTTCAAGGCCAGTCTTATCTGAGTTAGTTCCAGTCCAGCCAGTGCTACTTAGTGAGACCCTTTGTTAAAACAAAACAAAACAATTTGGACAGAAAAACCTTTCAAGCTGTAAAATCTGCTTTTTGTCCCTGCCTCCTGTCTCCAGCCTAGTCTGTTGCCATGCTGCCTCTGCTGCTATGGTTTCTCTCCCTCTAGAGTTATAAGGTGGAATAAACTCTTTCTCCCATGAAAAACAAACAAACGAATAAGTAGGATGCAGGGCAGTGGTGGTGCACAGCTTTAATCCCAACACTAAGGAGGCAGAGCCAGGCGGATCTGAGTTTGAGGTCAGCCTGGTCTACCTAGCTAGATCCAGGATAGCCGGGGTTACCCAGAGAAACCCTGCTTCAAAAAACTAACAAACAATAATGAGGAGGAGAAGGAAGAGAAGAAAAAAGATGAAAGAAGGAAGGAAGAAAAAAAAGAAAGGAAGGAAGGAAGGAAGGAAGAAAGAAAGAAAGAAAGAAAGAAAGAAAGAAAGAAAGAAAGAAAGAAAGAAAGAAACAGTGGTGGAAATCTATACCAACAGTGAGCTGGAGGTCACGTGAATGGGTGTTGAGGCAGGATGGGCCCCTCTGATGGCTGATTGTACTGTGGATTGACACCATGATCTTTGATTCCTGTTTGTATTCGAGGCTGAGGAAGATGTTGGTGACTTTCCCAACCTCAGTTTCTACCCTTGTAAAATGGAGAAAACTATGTTCCTGTGACTCATGGTTTAGGACTGTGGAGAGATGGGCAGCCACGTATCTGTCTCGTAAAAACAGAAACAACCAGGGCAGGGCACAGAATTACACAGGGAGAGGACGTGTACTGGGAACTGTGGTAGTCGATCCTGGAGACCTTGAGTAAGTCCCGTGTCCGCCTTGGTCGTCAGTTTCCTCAGAGATTGCTCTGAGACTGGACACACTAGGGGGATGGGCAGGAAGAGCTGGCTTGTGTTTTGAGATGTACCTGCTGAGCAGGGCTGATTACAGACAAGCAGGGTAGTTTTCGTGCCCAGGGGCCAAACTTCAGGGCCTCCACAAATAAGACTTTGGCTCCGTGTAAATACCTCCGATCAGCCCTGAACTCAGTATCTACCCTGGGCCTTATAACTCAGTAATCAACAAACAAATGGCCCAGTTGAAAATTGGGTGAAGGAAATCAAAAGCATGAGCGATTGCCTCATTCCAGACTGTTATCAAAAAGGCAGGAGATCATGGATGCTGGGAGGAGGTGGAGAGGAGGGAGGCCTTGCATGTTGTTGGTGGCCATGTGTGTCACTACGGCTGTTATGGAAAACAGTCTGGAAGCTCCTCGGATAAGTCAAAAGGAGAACTGGCAAAATGGTTCAGTAGTTTAAGGCACCAGGCCTGGCCACCCAAGTTCCATCTCCTGGACCCACACAATGAAAGGAGAGGACCGACTCTCGG